GTGAATATCTTTTTTGTATGTGATTAGAGGATCAGTGGAAAGAGTCTAATTTATCATTAATTTTAATTAGATATATAATTTAGAAGAGATTTTAAAATAAGAATTAAAAAAAGAGTTAGAAAAGGATAAAGAATCAACAATTAAATCCAAAAGACAAAAATTACTAAATATAAGAAATCATTAATATATTTAGAGAATGAAAACCAAATTGAAAAAAAAACATATGAATATGTAAAATTCAGAAACAGATAAATTAGAAGAAAAAAGTGAAAAATTTTGAAAAATATTTAATAAGGTAAAGTCAATTGGAGTTAGTTTTAAAAAAGTCAAGTTGGAATCTTTAAAGGAAAAAGAAAAGTAAGTAAAAGAGAAAAAAGAGGAAGAAAAGGAAAGTGATAAATAATTTAGTCAATTGATTTCATAATTTTTAATAAATTTTATAAAATTTATTAAACTTTTTGAATATTTATTGAATATTAATACTGAATTTATAACTTTTGTCAAATTTTTTGTTACAATAATTTTTTTACTAAATTTTTTTCTGCAGTATCAAATTTTTTGTCAAATTTTTTATTTCAATAATTTTTTTGTCAACTTTTTATTATAGTATTAATTTTTTTGCTAAATTTTTATTATAATATTAATTTTTTTGTTAAATTTTTTATCACAATATATAAAAAAAATTTTTTTTTATTATAGTATGTAAATTTTTTTTTTGTCACAATATTATCAAATTTGTAACAAATTTTTTTGCCATAGTATACTGAAATTTTTTTGTCAAATTTTTACTAATATTTTTAATACCAAATAATAGTAATCAAAAATGATTTGTCAATATTTTTATTATTATATTTTATTAAATTTGGTAAAAATTTAGTTGCTAAATGACATAATTTCAACTAGTGATAAACAAGCTCTTATTGATTATACATATGTATTCTAATAATATTATAGTTATTGAAAAGAATGTTTCTGAAATATTTGCTTTTAAATCTCAAATCCCTTAATGAAGATATTTATAATATCAAAAAATTAAATAATAGATAATATAGATTGCAAACTTTTGTTTCTTATTTAAGTTTTTCAAATAGTAATAAAACTTTAATGAAAAAAAACTGAGATCTAAATATTTTCCTTAAAATATTTCAATCTAATGTTTACTTAAATAAATGATCAGTTAAATTGATTTGTCTAATACTATAGGTAAAGATGGGTCTCTAAAAAAGAAAGCAGGAACAAAAGTTAAATATTTCTTACTAGAAAATATTAAAAATTTTAAATTAATAATTATAAAAAATCTATTCACATTTGTTTTTTATTATTTAAATCATTGATTTATAGTATTTCCTGACCTTTGTTCCTCTTAAAATGAAGATTTATAGATTTTGTTTTTCAAAAAGGAGCATAAGTGATCTGTGAAATTTTATATACTATAGTAAATACTTTAAGGATCTATTATTAGCTATAGATAGTAAAAAAAAAATTTCTTTTAAGATTTAAGTGAAGCAAAAAAACTATTTTAATAAGATAAATTTCTTTTGAAAAAAAATTAATTTTATTTTTAAACTTTTTTGATAAACTCTAAATTGTTCCTTTCTTCTAATTATTTTTTTCTTTTTCTTTTTTAACTTAGTAATTCATTGATTTTTTAATTAATCAATAGTAATAAACTATTAAAAAAAAACTTTTTTTATTGATTCTCTAACTACATACAAAAAAGATATTTGCAAGAAGTTTTTACACTTCTTTATTAATAAAGTCTTAACATTTTCCTTAAAACAACTTGAAGTATGACTTCAAAAGTCATTTTTTCCCTTTCTTTATTGTTTACAAACCTCTTCATTCAAAAATTTAATTCCTAATGATCAAGAAAAGTCAAGTAATACTTTTGATATCAATGGCAAGAAAGTTTCCAAAGGAAGAAGAATTGACTATAAAGTACTTGAAGAATCTTTTTAACCTTTGAAGTGAGAGCTTTATAGAGGTTTTTTGCAGTAAAAAGACTTATTTTCTCTTTTTTTGATTGTTTTAATCCTCTTAAAGCTTTCACTTTCATGGTTTTCTAGAGAATTTTGTTTACCTCAGTTTGATTCTGAATTTTGGGTAGCACAAATTCTTATCAAAGATAATTAACTGACATAAAACATATCAGTTTTTGAAATATAAACAAGCTTCTATTGGTCACACTCACATGTCTCAATATATCATTGATGATGTAGGAATGAAAGTTCTAGAAAAAGTATTTTCTCCAATCATGTATGTTTAACCTTTAGAAAACAATTATAATATTGAAAGATGAGTGATGGATAGAAAAAAAGATCCAACTCTCATCTCTTATTAAGTTTCTCAAGTAATGAAAAGACTTTTTTGAATAAAAACTAAGGTTTTCAAACTTCTATTCCGGTTAGACAAAGTTCTTGAAAAAATTTTTTTATCCTAATCAGGTAAACTCTTCCATAATATGGTGTTGGCTTCAGTAGTATTAAGTGAATCTGTACATTAACAGAAGGATAAGTTTTTCAAATATTCTTCTTAAAATCACTTTCAGGAATAATTAAGTTTCTCAAATATTATGAAGCTTAGAGAATATTTCAATCAAGTAAACTTCTTTCAAGAGGAAACTGTGAAATGAAGCAAGAACCTTTTGAAGGGTTTTGAATTATATTTCCTTTTTTACTTTTTTTTTTCCAGTATCAACTTTAGTAATTCATCAATTTTTGGGATAATCAATAATAACAAACTATTAATAATAATCCTGATTGACTTAGAGACTAATGCTAAGTTACTAAAAGAACATAATATTATTTTCAAAATTTGACTTAGAGTACTTAGTTTAGACTTAGTTTTGTTTAGTTCAAACTAGCTTAGCAGACTTCTCATATTTTTTAAGTAATGTAATCCTTTAACTAATAATGTATAATGATAAGTTGGTCACTTTGTGAAAGTCTGTAAGCATTGTGATATCTTTCAATATCTCAATAAAGACACACCATTGTGGCATGATTGCAGGTTAAAAAAAATATATATATATAGTAATAAAAATTAATAATGATTCTGATAGATAAAGATTATAATTAATTTATCAAAGAAGTATAATATTGTTTCCAAAATTTGATTAAGAGTACTTATATATGAAGACAAGTTAGTCATGTTGTGAAAGTCTGTAAACTATTGTAGATTTTGTTTTAATTTCTCAATAAAAACATGCTTAAATATAGATAAAATATATTAGGTTATTGAGTTTATTACTTTCTGGTTCGATTGTATATAAAAATATATGCATTTAATAATAAAAAGTTGAAAGGATACCATTATTTTAGTATGATTTGCAATTACACCAAATAATTGCGGCTTATATAAAGCGCGTTCGCGTGCTTACTCTTTCCCTCAATTTACCTAATCTAATTTAGAATCCCTGTACGTAACGAAATTCTGCTCTTGTGCCTTAGCGCCGACGAGTTTTCCTGTTGAGGATGAAGGGTTTCTCGACATTTGACAAAACTATCTAAATTGACAAAGTAACCAATAACGATTCCTTAACTAGGAATACAACTTTAAGAATCAACACAATTTCATAAATAGTAAGTACTAATGGAAGTCAACATATACTGTATGCTAAATTTGTTTCGTTTTTCGGTTGAGTCCTGGCTTTCTGGAAAAATATTTTCACGTAAATTATCTTTAATTACGCGTTCCAGCCTATCAACCTTTGAATTAGGTCTCAAATCATTCTGCGAACGCGTATTACATCGAATGCATATGCGTGAGAAATTTTGTGCGCCTTATAAGATTTCGGGAAATATTTTTATGGTTTCCTCCTTTCAAGCCCGGCATCGACATTGATGGCTATGAATGCCGTAATTTGATTACGGATGTTTCATAGAAGTTTCACTTTTCCTTACTAAACCACTTCGCATTTTCGTATCAGAAGACTAACTTGTTGTGCAGACAAAATGCAATGCACTTTATTTAACAAGGAATTGCCAAAATAAATACAAGAATGTGATAAACAAATGTAGACAATTAATTATTCCAATCTTATGCAAATGAATCGAATGTCGGTTTCCAGGTTGTAGGAGAAAACAATGGAAGGGGAGGGGAAGAAAAAGCAGAATGTGAGACCGATTCGAGTTCCCAAGGAGAAACGATTAACAAGAAATGCATACATACCATCTTCTTCAAATCTTTCAACTTTTGAGATCGCCTCCAAATCAATGAACTGACTGTGAAACTTCTCCTCCGAGATCAATCGTTTCCCTTTCTCAAATCTCGCTGAACTTTGATCTTTTTCTAATCTTTCATTGTCAGAGTTCTCATACTGTTCACAATCCCTCTCCAGGAAGTACCACTCGTACACCAAATCACAGATGTCGTCAGCAGTCGGTCTCTTCTTTGGATCGGAATCCAAACATTTTTTCATAAAATCAGTGTAGCATTTCGGTGTCCCCTCGACTATTTCCAGTTGTTTCACCTCATCGCGAATCTCTACGGCTAGACTCGTCGTAAAATCCGAATCTGAGAACGGTGCCAGGCCGGACGTCAACGTCCACATAAGAATCCCGAAGCTATATACATCACTTGAATTAGTGTACGGCCTACGTTGTAGTATTTCCGGTGCAACAAACGGGAGCACTCCGTACATTCCTTTGGATTCGTTTTCTGCTTTCTCACTTTCATTGACGCAGGCAGGTGAAAGGATGAGATCCGTAATGATTGCCACCCCATCATCTCCAATCAACACATTGCCCGAGTGCAAATCCCCATGAATTAATCCTTCGCCATGGATTAATTTTAATCCTCTCGCTATGTTGCCGAGGATCTGGAGTTTATCCGAAATCCAATTCATTTTCCTGTAATTGTTATCTAGATAATTTCTTAGATCACTATTTTTGGCATAGTCCATCACTAAACAGTATTCGCCGGTGGATGGATTCCGGGTCATTCCGTAACACTGAAATAATCCTAATAACTCGTAACGTAAATTTGTTTGCGACGTTGAGACTTTGATGTAAGTTTCAAGCTATGTCGCAATAAAAAAATATTGAATTCATGTTAGTAGAGAGCTCGTAAGTCAAAGGCATGGTAAATTGGAATGAAGGTAATTCGGCATTCTCACTTTACGCAAAAGATCGGGAGTCAATTCTCCCCCGAGACTCTTGATAGCAACCAATTGACCACCACCGATCCTCTCGCTCCCATAGAAACACATGGGTCCGTCGTTCCACCACGCAGAATATACACCTCCAAACCCACCTCTGGAGATCTTGTTTATGTCCCTCAACCGTTCAAATGGAATCCATTCTACATGAGAGAACATAAATTGGGACTTCGACTGTGAATTCGAGATGATCCTGTCAATTTCCGGATTTCCGCTCGACCAAGACGGAGTTCCACTTTTATTGACAGTTGATAAAGTGCACAATTCACATTCCGCTGCCTCGCCCATCATATGACCACAACTGGAGATCATTGACAAGAGAATCGTGGAATTCGTTACTTGCTCAAATAATTTTCTCATATTATGCTCCCATATTCTTTTATTCCGAAACATTTTTATCAAACAGACCACATTATTCCGGATCCTTTCTAATATTGCCAGCACCAGAATCGTGCTGGAAAATAAATAGTAGCTTATTAGAATATTGAAAATCACAATTATGTGCTCGGACCACGGAAGAATTGATGAAACAACCCATCCGACGAATTTCAACCCCAACGACACAAAGAATAAATGAGCACTCAAGATACCAATTTCAAAAACCGAGACGAAAAAATTCGGGAATAGTTTACAAGACACGATACTATCGATAATCAATATTGCGAAGAATAGAATGGCACTAGTCCAATATCCGTACAGCAGATAAAAGACAATCAATAATGAAAGCGACAGACTTTTGACAGGATTCGTCTTGGTGTAACGATTAAAAGTGAGGTAAAGTAATTTGAACTTAAATTGGGTTTTGTTAAGTTCTAGAAAGACGGTGAATAAAAAGTTCAGAACAAATCGAATGCTTAATCGAAAGTTTAACAGGAACAGGAATAGTTGGAGAATAAAGATAAATGTGGATTGGGTGATGTACTTATAACCGTGATAATAAGGATATTTGAAAAACAGAAACATAATTCGATCCATTTTTTTGCTTGATGATGATTTATGAAGTTTAAGAGATGATTCTAAAGGAAAAAAAAAAAAAGGAAAGAAAAGAAATAGAGAAAAAATCGAGTGTTATATGCGTCCGAAGTGAATGATGTTGATTTGATTAGAAGTCGATCCATCCAATATTCGATAATCAATTACGTACGTATGTACGTCAAATAAACAAATACAGCAGCACCAAATATAAAATTAACGTTATTTCCGTAATGCAACAGCCACCTTATGCACGTACGTACGTACGCATGTGCATACTATACCTTAAATGGGATTAAGTCACCTAGGGTGAAAATCGATTCGCGGATTTGCATAACTAAAATCATGCTTTTTTTTTTCTTGCTTTATATATAAACGATCTCATCACGAAAAAAGAAAAATGATTCATGTGTAAGAAAAGGAGAGAAAGGAGAGAAAAGGAGAAAAAAGGAAAAAAGGAAAAAATAAAAAACAATAATAATGCTACGCTATATATTTATCTAAAAATACAATGTGGTTATGAAATATATTTTAATATGTTTTTATTCGATTTCATTTCATCATCATCCTCGAACCCAAAGAAACCACCGCTTTTTGTTATACAAGAACAACCGCATCCCGTTGGGCATTCTTCATAACCTGTTGAAAACCATTCTCTCATGTGTAATGTATGTCCTCCATGGTTGCAAATAATGCAAAAAGACGTCAATCCTGAATATATTTAAACGGTGTCGGTCAATGGTTGCAAGAAGAATTATAGCGAAAATAATCGCAAATTGCAAATTTCCGAAATACCTTTGACAAGTTGATGGCACACTGAACAAACGATGCCAACGTCAGCTTGTTGTGGACAATGCGAACACCGCGAATTTGGCTTTATCATGTTTCCACATCTTCTGCATCTCGTGGAAAAGTTAGCCAACGGGCAGTTTCTACACTTCGAGTATGGCTTTACTTCTGCTCCGCATTTGCGACAGAATGTACCAATTTCTAAAATAAAAGTATAGATTATATAGCACCATTGTATCGATCAATAAAGTAACACTTATCCTTGCACCTACCCAAAGGTTCTTCCCTCTCGCCAAGGGGACATCCTACTCGGGTCTTTACAAAATTCATGAATTTCAAAATCTCTGCGCGCGCCTCATAAAGGCCCCAATGGTACAATAATTCGGAATAAGCCAATCGGAATCGATCATAGAATGCCTTTGTTTCTAGATCGTTATCTAACAACATAACAAATAGCGACTTCTCGAAGCTGCGAACGAGTTGATTAAAACATTAATGTCTATTTATAGCATAAATGCATGTGAACACTCACTTCCTTTCTTCGTCAAATTCGTCAAAATGTGTGGTTATTATTACATCTGAATTTTTTTCTGGTTTTTTTTCAACTTCATAATCATAGAATCCCACCGTAAAATATTCAACGCGACCCCCTGCAATGGGACTACGTGATGATGTGGTACTCACACTTGATGGGAAAAAATTCATCTCCTTTGGCGCGCCGCTACCGAATGTAGGTCTTCTCTGATGACGCAAAGATGGAATGGGAGAGGGAACCATGATTGACCCACCTGTGCCTTCCGAATGTGCGAGATGGTACGTTGACGGTGTTGATGTGGTCGAATCTAATGGATACGGGTATGTGCCTTGTGTTCCAAGAGAAGAATTAAACGATTCACTGTTCATTTGTCCGAATGTGGTTGACAAAGAAAAAGATGGATAACTTTGTTGGAAACCGGACTTTTCCGAATATGCAGCAATGTTATCCGCATAATTCGCGTCCGCGCTTAATAACCCTGTCGCCTAACGATAAAAAAAAAAAAGGTCAGATCTTGCGGATAAATTGCGAAATTTCAGCAAAACAAATAAATTACATTGGTGCCTAGAGGATGAAAGAGATGCCATTCGGGATGAAATGGTTCTCGGAAGACGCACGACAACATTGCAACCATCTGAAAATCGCCTAAATCCACAAAGTATTTAAGCCTTCGTAAAAGGGAGGATGCAATGGTTAAGAAAGAAATTGAGTGGAATTAATACAATTGAGTTGATCGCAGAAAAGAAAGAACATACAATTCGCGGACGAGATCCTTTCCTAACGGGTGGAATCCCCAGTTCGTGATATCTGGTATCACGACCTCCTCCTCCTCCTCTTCAACTTCATCATTCTTTCTCCCTTTATACGAAGATTTTGATCTCTCGGGCGAATAATAATTCTTCATACGATTTGAGAGAATGAGCGAAGCGAGATTCCATGCTTGTTCCAAATCCGGACGGTTACATTCTGCAGCCACCCGCGCATTGTGCTCACAAATCTCCACAGAGTCTCTTCCGTTGAGGCTGCAGATAATTAAGAATAAAGATTAGCGCTTTTATAAGCACGAAAAATATTTTCATAATAAGAACAGAGTATTTACGTGTATTTCGCTGCCAATTCATAGTCAACAGGCATCAAGTTCGATAAATCATAAAAGCGGACGGAAACACCATCCTTACTAGGTTTGGCTTCTTTAATTGTTGTGATCTCGCGTAATCCTTCCTGAACAAGAATTTTTTTATTGATCATTGAATTCAGATAATTCCACAACCACCACCAAACCGTTGGTGATCCCTATTCCTTTGCTCACCTTTGACCTAAAGTAAAGTGAGTGAAAGTCTTCCTGATCATCGTCCCCCTCGGCGGGCAGAGGTTTTGTAAGAGTCATTAATATTTTTTTATATTCATCCCAATAATCGCGAGATCGTGGATGGCAGTAAGTCCAGGCGGAACGCTCTTCACCTGACCTGTCACCGTCCGGTCTGCCACCATTGGTCCTATCGTCGTAAGGGGATCCGAGTTTCGAAAAGAAGCATACAAGCTGTCCTACAAGGAAAATTACGTAATCCCAGTAATTTAACGAAAATTTGATTCATCTCAAATTTAAAGTAGACACCGTGTGAGCTCACCATTCATTGAAAAGCGCGCCCCGCATAATTGCGGGAAAGGGACACGGTAATCTTTGTCAACCGGCATGTACGCGATATTTTTTTCGAGCGAGTCTTTGTCAAGATCCTCGTCGGATTCGTCCTCTCCGTATCGATCTTGATCATTTTCCTGCCTTTGCTCCAGCAATATACGTACGCAATCTTCTAGACACGGCCTTCCGTTAGATAAACAAACCTCCGAAATTTTTTTAAGGTATAGTAAAATACGAGATCTGGTCATTATAGAGGTCATTTCTTTTCCGTGAACTTCGAAACTAGGTGGTTTGTTAAGAGGATATCCCTCAGGGAACGTGACATTGATACGAGGGAAGGCGGGGCCTTTCTCACCCCGAGATACGTGAGATGTGATCATATAATTCTTGTCATTTATCTATTTGCGAACGTATAATGTGTTAACAACTCTGCTCTAAAGAAATAAAACAATAACTGCGCGACATCAACATTTCACCTTTTCGAATTTCACTTCCTTGTACTTGTTAGAAACCAATTCAATTTCATCATGTACATTAGTTGGACTATTTTCATCAAGTTTTTTGGCATTTTGCATTTCTAACAAAGGCGATAACGCTCGATGTTCACGTTCCGTCCTGTAAGGTCCGGTGAGGGTTGGGAAATTGTCGTTATTTGCCGTGGAAGCCCCGGACGGGCGCACTATGGCGGATTGGTTTATGTGAATACCAGTGCCGGGAAGAACTCTCAACACAGGGGTTGCAATAGATGCGAGGTTTGACGCGTGAGGAACCAATCTATTGTCTAATTTATGTGATGGATTGCTGAATGTGTGACTGGCATATTCCGTTCGCATCAGTTTATCGGAAGTCGCACGTTCGTGACCAATTAATTTTAACTGTTGATCGCTTATTGGCCAGAGCCTTAGGTATTGATCTTTCGACCAAGTGATCAATTGAAATTCCCTATCGTCTAAAGTGAATGTAATTAATTGATCATAAATTTAGAAAAATTAAATTCTTTATTAACACTTGCCGACATTTTGATTGTTTCCTCCCTTGATTCTCCAAACGAACTCTTTGACCACATCATTGTGGCCTGCAAATGAATCTACCGGGGACTGCGGGTTCTCTCGATTCCAGAGGTACAGGGTGGACTCAGAACGTTGAGGCATAGTTAGAATGCCGGAGCCAACTGGCTAAAAAAAAGCACAGGTTTTTAAGTTATCGTTCAAATGCGCAGTAAATTTGAATAAAGAATCTTATCAAATGCACACCGTATGTCTAGCACGCCATACGGGTGAATTGGTACGAATTTCACATTGGCATACATCGGGCTCGTCTATATTCCAAAGCTGTGTTTTTTTTTTGAGTAAGAGAGGGGGAAAGGGGGGGGGGGGGGGGAGGGAAAAAAAAAGGACTATCAGTGTGAGGGAGGGAA